ATAAAACCTAAAGATTTTAAAAAACTGTAGATCGAACAAAACTATGAACACTTGAAAATCAAGAAAATTGACGGTTTAGATAATACAATTCAAGATGCACTATTTTCAATACTTGAAATCTATTTTTTTTCATGTCCATATATATTGAGATCGAGATGATCTAATTAATAATTTTTTTGCATCGAAACAACCTCTTTTAGTGAATTTTTGAAGTGCATTTTAATTTGATTGTTTAGGGCTTCATCTTTATATAAACTTTTTTTATTTCTTATAGATGGAGAGTGTGAGTTAATCTTTCTCTTTTTTTTAATTTTGTTGCTGGATTCTAGATATCACATCCCCAAAATTTGGGATCTAAAGGCATTTCTAATGTAAGTTTTTCCCGAGGGAGTATATTGATAGTACACTCCCATAGTAGTATGAAACCTAAGTTTTTATTAGAGGGGGAGAGATATAAGGTTACGGACCCACTTGCACGTGCGATTCTTTGTTTGTGGGTGTGGTTGATTCTCGGATTATTTGGAAACATATATTTTCTATTTCGAGAGATTTGTTTTAGGGTAATGATCCTAGGAGACCATCCTACATTCATGTGTGTAGGATTTCAAATGATCACTATTAAATTTGACATAGATATGTAGAAAAGTGATTACATGGTGGAAGATTTGACTTTTCTAGATATTAGAGTTAAATTTAATAATGATCCTTTGAAGTCCTACACATATAGATGCAGGAGGGTCTACACATATGGATGCGGGAGGGTCTCACAATATCATTTCTCTTTTATTAATATACTTCTAATTTGCTTACAATTTAATCATTTTTCATTTTCCACTATCCAAAAGTATGTGATTGGGACAGTTATTTGTGTCCACTCACTCATTAAACATCCATTTTTAAGATGGATTTCAAAAAATGGTGCCCTACCAAAATTCAAAATGAATGGTGTTGAAAAAAAGAAAATAATTGTTATTAGGATCGGAACAATCGCCGAACTAGTGGAGGCATTAGTTTAATTAATATCACTCTGACTACTAGTCAACCAATTTGACTAGATTTTAAAATATAAAAGCAATATGAATAATTTTTTTTTAAAAAAACATTGGTCAACTTTATTGGGTTGTTCAAACTAGTCGAAAATGGCCGATTCGAATGCTTTTGACCGGTGTTTTTCATCAAGCTAGGTTTTTAATTTGGACAAGACCGACCAAGACGTTGTCGGCGGTTTGATCGGTCAGACCACCAATCACGTCCATTCTCGATAAATATGGTAAAATTTGTCATTTACAAATTTAATAGTTTATTTTTCTTTTTTATATTTGTGTTTTTTATGGTTGAGATTCTTGACCCCTAAAATATTGGATCCAAATTCCATTTCTATAATGGGTTTTGAAGAAGGGGCACATGTAAATGGATGAATTGTTGGCTTATCAAAACTTTAACCTTGGGCTATTCCAACTCATGATCATGTATACTTGATGGATTTTTAAATTAAAATCAAATAAAATAACAAATAAATAATTCATCTTTTAGGCCCATGTACCTCTGTCTCTCTCTCACTCCCTCTCTCCCCATGGCTTTATGAAATTTTAAGTCACATAAAAGGAAAACTATCAACTTTGAGAGATGAACAATTAAAATCCACATTACGCGAATTGGAATAGTTACAAATAATCAAAATGTTAAATACTTTGTCTCTAATGGATCTTAAGATAAATTTCCTATAAATGAAAATTCAATGTCGAAATATTTTGAAGTGTTTATTTCGCCCTTGACTGTAACCCTTAAAGCTTAAAAAACAATACAAATATAGTAGACCTATGAAGATATAAAAAAATCCATAATCATTTTTATAACTTAAAGGCCTTTCATGCTTTTCGTTTGATTCATAATAGGAGACAGATCTACAATGTTTTCATCATTTTCCTGATATTTGAAATTCAGCCTTTGTAAGCCCGCGTTTCCACCAAACACTTTCCCAATCTCATTTAACACCAATTGCTGTGTCTCTTTCTTTTCTTTTCTTTTTCTTTTTTTTTTGTTTTTTTGGGTGAGTTAGTAGGGAGAGGGCCTTACCCGGGTAGGAATTGAGCCTAGGACGTAGCGTTATCTCAATCTCTTTTAACACCAATTCTTTGCTGTGTCTCCTTTTTTTTTTTTTGGGTGAGTTATTAAGGAGAGGGCCTTACCCGGGTAGAAATTGAGCCTGGGACGTAGCGTTATGTCATATCTCTTGACAAGGCATTTAACCTATGAAGGTTGACAAGACTTAGAAACTTTTTTTCGGAGATCTTGTTATGGAAAATTGTTTCATGCGGGCTGGATTGCATTTTTATAATATGCAGTCCAGAGGTATAAAGCATCCATTTTGAAGATGGATGCAAATAGGTGGTCCATCTAAAAACAAGTATAACTAACTGTCCAAATGTTTTCTTAATATAATTATTATTTTTAGTTTTTTTTTAAAAACAATATTTTCATATTCATGATCTCCATGTTAAAAATTATATATTCTCTAAAAATTGAGATAAAATTATATTTAAAAAAAATATTTATTACCAAGCCGGCATTTTTAGACTATGCAGGCTAGCCGCATAGAAACCGTGTCCTTTTTTTATTTCATTTTTGGAGAGGGTATGTTTTGTATAAGGTTGAGGCCCTAAACAATCAAACTAAGACATACTTTCAAATAGTATCAAAAGATATTGGTTAAGTACGAAATCTTTGTAATAGCTTGAAAAGTTATTTTTATCTCTAATTATAAAACTTAAAGCTTAAAAGATGTTGTACATCAAACATATCTATGAACACTTGAAAATCTTAAAAATTAACAGTCTAGAAAAAGTGTTACAAGATACACTATTTGAAAAACTTGAAATCTATTTTTTCTCATGTCCATATATATAGAGGTCGAGATGATTGATTTAAGGATTTTTTAACATCAAAATAGCATCTTCTAGTGAATTTTTGAAGTGCACCTTAGGGCCTCACCCTTATATAAACTTTGGCCTTTAATCCCTACTTGAAAAATTAGATTGGCTTTAATGCATAGCTATTTTCTTGCAACATTTTATTCAAAATATTATATAGATATAATGACATAGAAAACCCACCTACCAAGGATGGCATCATGAATCAATTTAGTGGCTTTAATATTCTTGTAGAAATTTTTGGGTAGGTATTAGCGTTTATTGAGAAAATATGTACCCTATCATATCATGTTTTCAGTTTATAAGAACTGGTGTGTACCTTAACTCTAAAAACATGCACTGAAAAGAAAACTGTATGTACCTTAAAAGGCCTGGCCTACACTTAATATTTTCTCAACCCCATAATAATTCAAGGATTGGAATAATTATTGCATTGTATAGGATAGTTATCAAGGCCGGATCGGATCACTTGATTCTACTAGTCGAACCACCTACTAGTGCTTTAGCCAATTTTTGATCTGACTGGTGCTTTAGCCAATCCTTGATCTGAAGTACTATTGTATGTGGTAGAAAATATGTCAAAATTGATGCTTGATCGGAAATTGGTTGGTTGCCAACTGATTTTAATCAATATAGTTGATTAAAACAAAGTTGGGCAATTTTTTGTAATGTAGATCATGCTTTTAAATTACTCTTGGTATGTTTTTTTTTTTCAATATTTAAAAATTCAATCCAATCAGCTCAACCATCCAATTTTAACTTAGCCCAAACCCTCATAATTGGCAAGTCCCATGCGGATAACACTATTGCATAGCTTTATTGAGAACGAGGCATAATTATCTTTCTAAATCAACTCCCTCTATTTTCCTTCAAAAGTATTGAACCGCCTCATGCATCTACCTGGTTTTCGAGGGATTCAAAACTCAACAAATCCCCTAAGCAATTGTAAATCCATTTCTGCCTCAAATCTGTAAATTTGGACGTCCCACACGCCATGCAGATCGAACTTTCTACAAAAATTAAGATGAGCATTCAAAAAATACAAAAGCCACAAAACATTATACTCGTGTAGGAGTATAGTGTCCATTTACTCCGTAAGGTAAAACCTCATTTAGCCTTAATTTTAGGGCCCCAATTTGAGGAAATGACCTTTTCAACTATAGATTAACCTCAATAACCAAATAATAATAATCTAATTGCACATCTATGCACATAAAAAAAAAAATGTCTCAAAGACTGTCCAATTCTTAGAGTTTGAGATCTAAGTGCTAAAAAATTATAATTTCAAATTTGTTTTTAGAGAATAATCATCTAGTGATTCTTAGCTAGTTCCCAAAATTTAAGATTGAAAAAAAAAAAGTCCCTAGTAGGTCTTTTGATTGAGGTAGTATATGCTCTCAATCCAAAATAGACTATTAGAACTCGAAACTCCTTTTTATTGGATTTATGAAATTCTCATTTATACTATCTATTGGGATTGTATACTATGAGACCATTTAGCTATGTTACAAAAACATCATAATCGATGCTAGGCATTAGATGTTAAAATTAATTAGTTTGGGGTGTCGCATGAAGTCCAAGAATTTTTGTTTTGAATTTTGAGTGTAGTCATTGCCACTCTTACAATCATCAATTTGAAATTTAATAGACAATAATGTTTTGTGACATATTGTGCGAAAAATATAAAACGTATTTTTATATAAGAAAAAAAATATATAGATCCTCGCTCTAAATTAACTTTTCCCTATAAATAATGAAAGGTACAATAATCTATGCTTCAACTTTATTGTCACCCTCTAATAATATTGTATGTTTAAAATTTAAAATTAAATGCTTCATTTCTTCACACTATAAATGATCATTTGTGTGATATAACTAATATCTCCTTGTGATAGAAATTTGGAAATAGAATTGTCATTTAAAAGAGAAAAAAAGTGCAAAAAATTGCTATTATACATTAATGGAAAATTTTAGAAAAATTCCTTGAACAAAAATGGAAAAAATTAGAACTATTTTTCTTTATCATATGCAGAACTGGAGCTGGCGCTGAATTGGCGGGGTATTCCAAAAACTCGCCGAGTTCTCCCCCCTGTCTCTCTCTCTCCAGTCCTGCTGCATTTGCTCTTTCTCTCTCTCTTGCTGCATTTGCCATCTGTTCTATCTCTCTCTACATTCTTGACAGCATTTGCCATCTCTTTCTACACCCTTCACTGCATTTGTCATCTCTCTGTAACACTCTGAAGCATGTGCCATATATAATAATACAACTCTCTCTCTCTCTCTCTCTCTCTAGTACACAGACCACCCGGAAGAAGTGCAACCCTGTGAATCGCTATTCTTTCTCTCTCTGAGTACATACTACATTGAGCAACCGCTAGAACTGCAACTCAGTACTCTCTCTCTCTCTGTGAGGCCAGCTTCAATGGACTACGAGAGGATACACAAAGTGCAGGTACTTCAACAGTTAAGACATTACAGCCATTGAGTTTGCAAGTGGTTTAGTTGTCTATCTTTTCTCTATTTGAAATCATTTGGGCCATGTGGTGAACTTGGGTTCTTTGATTTGTTCTGGGTTGTTACTTCGTAGAGGGGCTCTGATTGGTTGTAGAGAAAACAGTTATACTGTGGTTTTCATGGAGTTGTCCTATCTCTTAATCTTAATGGTTTCGCAGCTTTTGCTTAATTTGGTCAGGTCAGGAGCACATTGGTTTTCCCCATGACTTTCTCTCTCTCTCTCTCTCTCTCTCTCTCTCTCTGTTTTTCATGGAGTTTTGGGCTTTTAGCTTCTCGTCTACTGTGGTTTTCATGGAGTCTTGGCTTATCACTTCCTTCTCTCAGGGTGGTTTTCATGGAGTTTTGGCCTATCTCTTAGTGAGTTTTATTTAAATTGGTGTGTAAAAGGTTGTTCTCTCTCTCTGGTTTGCTTAAGGTGGTCTGGAAGAAAGTTTTTTCTCTCTCTCTCTTGACACTCTTGAAATGATAGTTGATGGAAATTTGATTGTGTAAATTTGCCCCCTTTCCTGAATATAGGGAGGAACACGTTCTCCTACTAAAATAAGGCTTAAACTATTGGGATCTCAAAATAAGAGGAAGGAAGGAGGGAGTGATTCATCAAGAACATCTCCTACTAAGTTTGAGGACTCAGAATTTGCTAGAAACAGCTTATTGAAAGGAGATGGTGAAGAACTATGTGAGCCATGTAAGCAGTTATTTTTCACTTCAAGTTTAGCATTTTATTTCAACTTGAAACAGGGTCCTCTCTCTCCTGTAGGTAGGACTTTGTTCTATTTCTCTTCATAAACCACTGATTATTGCCCTTCTTTTATTTCTATTGCATGCTTGCAGTTACTAATTCAAATTTCTAGAATGTGGGGCTTTGGAGTTAGAACTTGTGTACTTGTCGTCCATGAATGAGTGACTGTTTTTAGTGGTTATAAGCATTTTATCATTTTTCTTTTATTTCGTGGGTTTCAAAATTCAACAATTTGGGATTTTTCTTCTTATGAATTTGTTTTAAAACTCCAATCAGGTGCATCAAATGATCTCGAAGAATGCCAACCCCACTACTCTTCCATAGCCCTCACTAATGAGGAGGGTTTTCTTGATTCAAGCCCAGTTGATCAGAAGGAAGTCCAAACCAAGGAAAGTGAACCAGTTCAGTTCAGGGTTCAGAATTCTGCAAGACTTATTAGTGACACAGTTGGGTCTAACAGTAACTTGGATTTAGTCCATCATTCAGTGAGAAACTCAGAAGATTATAATGAAGAAAACACCAATTACTCTAGTTTCGAGTTTTACAAAGAAGAGAAAGGAGGTCAAAAATCATCACTGGGGCCATTGACTAGGACTTCAAGCTCCAGCTCGAAGTGGGTTGATGCGGAGAAATGGGTTATTAACAAACCAAGAGTTCAATATCATCCCACTATAAATACAAATCCAATTAAGAAGAATTCATTTCAGGGTCAGGTGACCAAGCAATCAGGGATTCATGCAACAAGGGTGGCACCAGAAGCCATGGCTTCAGACCAAAAGGTTCTCCTTTCCCATATTTTGGTGACAAAGAAATTTGATTCAGAACTATCCGTATCTGAAGTTAGGCCTCCGGTTCATATAGAGAGGACTTCAGGTGCAGCTAGTAAGTGGGGTTTTATCTGATTGATTTGTGTATTGCTTAGTTAAAATATCTCTTTGAAATGGAATTTGATGTCATATTTTTTAAGACTCCGAAGTAATTTTAGTTACTGTGCTTGAATCGATTATGTGATATGGATACAAGTGGTTTGTTTATGTGATATGTCTTTGCTCTGTTCTCTAAGATTATAGTAAACTTTCAATGTGAAATATTGAATTTTAACCCATAAGCAAACTCAAATTGATAGATTTGGTTGGAATAAAATTTACATTCTAAAATTATTATATTCTTTGGACCAATGCATAAGAATACTTGTTCTTAGGTTGTTGCTCTGTTTTCTTCAATATTTTTATTCGACAGAATATTTTTGCAGAGCAACCTACGCCTGCCTATAGAATCTGACTTTCATTAAGGCAATAACATTTTTCCAGTAATTTTTCATTTTCCATTGAAATTTTCCTGATGACCGTTATGTCATTGGCCCAGACCTTTTCTGTTTTGTTCAATACTGATGTGTTGTCACTCATTTTTTTCACTCAAAGGGAGGGAGCCACCAGACCAGGGGCCCACTCGCTCTCCTTATCACTGTCCATCATTTCATCTGACAGTAATGAACCCAATGAATAACAGCTTTCCTTTGTGCATCGGACTGTAGTCTATTCAACTGTAAGAACCCAGAAAATGAATTTTCTTGATGACCGTTATGTCATTGGCCAAGACCTTTTCTTTTTTGTTCTTTTTTGTTCAATTGTGATGTGTTATCACTCATTTTTTTCACTCAAAGGGCAGGGGCCACCAGAACAGGCCATGGCCACAACAGTGGGTCCCACTTGCTCTCCTTATCACCGTTCATCATTTCATCGAACAGTCATGAACCCAATGAATGACAGTTTTCCTTTGTGCATCGGACGGTAGTCTATTCAACCATAAGAACCTCAGATTCTTACCTCAATTTGTAATTTTTACAGCTAATCAAGGACCGTATTTCCATTACAATGGAGTTGAAACCAGTAACTCCGAAGTTTCAGCAGCTGTGAAATCGGTGTGTATGAGAGATATGGGAACAGAGATGACCCCAAGTGCTAGCCAAGAGCCTTCAAGGACTGGTACTCCTACTAAAGCTACAACACCAATAAGAAGCCCTGTTTCTTCTCTTCCTTCTACACCAGGAAGAGCTGAACCTGCTAGTTCTCCAAGAGAGACAACTGGTCAAGAGTTAGCTCAAAATTTAGATTATCACAAGAGAGAGTTATCTGAAAGAGAATTGCATTTGAAGACTAGGAGAGAGATTATGGCACTTGGTATGCAGCTAGGAAAGATGAACATTGCAGCTTGGGCAAGCAAAGAAGAAGAGGACCATCGTGCTTCTGAGTCTCTCAAGACCATGGATGAAAGTGAACTTCTAGAGAGAATGTTCAGAGCGCGTGCATCAGAGTGGGAGGAAGCTGAGAATACAAAGCATAATGCCAGGTATACATAGATATGGCTCCCCTGATCCCGTTGGAATTTCTTGGTTGTTTAGCGAATTTGTCATATGACTGGGCTCTCTCTCTCTCTCTGTGCAAATTAAGAAAGCAAGGACATTTCAAAAGTAAGGGCATGAAAAGAAGAACACACAATGAAGCAAATGTAAACTGGCAACTTATTATGTAGGACGAAAATTGCTTACATATAACAATAACTTCCCAAGTTTTTTCAACTGTGTTATCCATGCATACTTTACAGAACAGAAAAATTAAAAATTCGCTCTTCAGAATCTGTTGTTTGAATAATATCTCAATGACACTAAAGAATTTCTGAAATTTGTTCCATTAAAGGATTAGGGATTTTTAAAACATGAATTTGAAACATCATAGGTTGATGAAAAATGCTGAATGCCCTCTGGAATGCTGTATACCATAACATTTTGGAATATGGTATGCTTTCTCTTCCAAATAAGAGGTAAAGTTGTAGTATTTGTTATAGCTTGGAAATAGAATACAAGATTTTCAACTCGCAAAACCATTGATCATTGTTGCTAGAATATACCGGTGTGGTTGTGCTGAAAAAGGTACAGTTTTATTTGAAAGTTTAATTATACTATAGTCCAATGAAGAGTTGAAAAAACATAGACATAGTCCATCGGGGTCATTACTGTCCAATTGAATGGATAGTGATAGCAAGAGAGTAGGATCCACCATTAAAGTCATGGCCACTCTGTTGGGCCATACTCTCCCTCAATCCATCATTTCATGGGACATGTCCATAATCCCTGAGGACTGCTGCTTCCCATAGTCCATTACAATTATTGAGTACGCTCTCCCTGCTGGAATTGGTCTCTCTGCAGCATAAATAAATACGTAGCTTGCAGTCAATAATAATACTCAGTAATTTAAATTTTCCAGATACAAGCGTGAAGAAATCAAAATACAAACATGGGAGGCTCACCAGAAAGCCAAAACAGAAGCTGAAATGAGGAGAATTGAGGTACTCTATGCCACTCACTACTTGCAAATTTTTATACTTACAGTAATAGGCATAAGTTATCACTTTACCATAATTGTAGAAACTGGTATTTAGTTGCAGTTGTTTGTTTAGCATGACTTGTTGCCCAACTTTGCCATCTTTCTATTTCTTATTATGATAAATCAGATCTCCTTTTTTCCATGTTATTATCATTGGGGGAACAAATTGGGGTGCTTTTTAAACATGTTTACACGCACATACACACACAACATCCACCATAATTTTCTATATTGAAGGAAATATGTACTTGTTATTATCATTCTTCCTAATAAAATCTCTGTCGTCGTCATCACCATTTTCTTTTCATAATATGCAAAGAAACACAAACTACTTGTAGATTGAGATGGTATGCTATACAACCATGGAGAATATAAATGGTTAGCTCTGCGGTTGTTCACCCAGTGATGAACAATGGAAATTCACCTGTGGTTCACCTTTGTTACGACTAAGCTCTTCCATCTGTCACCGATAACAGATATAGCTGATGCCCCCGTAGTGCACCGTGCACCACAACATCCATGCACCTCATACCATTGGTGTGCCATATTATCATCTACAATATAACCAATACAAAACCGCGTGATCATGGTAAGTGGTAACAGTATGGCTCCTCACCGTCCCATCAATGGTTTTGATGGAGATGGAGGGAGACTGCGTCCCTCAAAAATGTCACTAATTCACTGGTACATACCAGTCTTCATGACTGTCCATTGATTAGATGGCGATGATGTCAACTACCTTATTGTTCCTGAGATCATATGTCATAGTGTATCTTTTCATACAATTTACCATACCATATAACATTTATACTATATAGCTTTCTCCAGTGAGCAGTATATGAAATATATAAAAGAGTATGTAGTAATGACTATCAGTATATGACTATCAGTATGACTACAATATATAAAATAGTATGTACTATTCAGTATAAAGTAGAATGACTATTATGTAGTAGTATATACCAATGTTCATGAACAAGGTCGGACTCGGTAGTCAGTAAGGTCTCGAGTCAGTGTCATATATTCCAACGTGGCTTACTTAGCTGAGTATGTATAAGTAATAATGATAAAATATAGGAATAGCTCCTCGGCACTCTGCTGAGTCTGAGTAACTCGGGCGAGTCCAGTGGACATGCCCGAGTTTTAGAAGACCGGTATATACTATACTATATATTATATGCCTATGGAATGTACCGTACGATTCCATACCACACTATATATTATATGCCTATGAAATATACCATACGATTACATACCACATACCAGTTTAATTAGCATTATCTGTAATATACAGATTCAGTTGGAACAAATGAGAGCTCGGGCGTATGAGAAGCTGATGAACAAGCTGGCGGCAGCTAGGAGGGAAGCAGAAGAAAAACGAGAAAATGCTGAAGCCAAAAGGAATCAACAGGTGATTAGAGCAGCTCGACAAGCTGACCACATTCGTCACACTGGTCGAATTCCGGTGTCTCTCCTTTGTTGTAGTTGGTTCACTCGCTACTGACGATTTTTCTCTCTTCTTATTTGGGGAAGCAGGCCTGAAACTGATCCCAATGAATCAGTTGTAAAAATGTGGAATATCATCTATTGATGTCATCAGATTTAGAAGCAACAAGCTACCCACTTTGTAATTTTATGAGATTTTCATGTTCGACCCCATATTGAAGAGCGAGATTAAGAGTTTAGAAGAGTATATTACTTTAATTTTCATGTTAAGCATGTGTCTAAGTGTCTTTTCTCATATGATATGTCATTCTTAACATGTTTGAGAGAAAGAAGCGGGGGGCGGGGGGGGGGGAAGAATGAAATGAAAGACATTTTCAACAATCCGATTAAGATCTGATGGCTGGGAGCATCTCAATCTAAGATGTATGGATGTAGAAAAGAAAAAAAAAAAAGGGACTTTCAAAATCTAAAAAAGAGTACATCTTGTAACACATTATCTAGACCAATCATTCTCAAGATTTTCATGCTTGTAGATTTGTTCGATATATACTATATTTTGATTTTTAAATTTCATAACTAGATGTGAAATAGATTGTCATGTCATTATTGAAATTATATCTTTTGACGGGCTTTGGAGGTGTGCCTGGATAATTTAAGGTTGACACTTTATATAAACCACACTAATAATTGAAATGAATTATCCAAAGAAAATACAAGATGGATAACCTTTTAGGCTCAAAATTCATTTTCTATATAATACATGGTTGATGGTAGACCTATGAAGTTTCAGATCCCCAACTCTACTCCAAGATTTATTTTGGAAGGGTAAACACGATATAATAGATGCATTTAGGGACGCGTTTAAACCCTAACCTTAAAATGCAATACCTTTTACCCAAAGTTATTGGGGATTGTCTACGAAGAGACTTTTTGTCTTTTATACATGGAGGTTATAATCATTTTTATTCATTAGATGTCAAATTGAATGGTTTGGGATGAGTCACGAAGTCTAAGAATTATTTTTGTGTAACTTTGTGTCTATTCAATGAAACTCTTACAACCGCCCATTTTGAAATTTAAGAGACACGAATTATTATAATCTTCATGCATAAAAGATAAATGATCTCTTTATAGACAATCTCAAATTGTTGGACACTGGATGCACATTACCAGCCAAACTATAATTGAAAAAGTATTTAATGAGTCCACTGACAAAGGATTTAGGACCCAAAACACATCCTAAATTGCTACAAGCTTATTTTCACCTCAAATTTCAGAATTTGGAACTCCAAACAGGCAAATATCATGATCTGTGTGTCATAATTTATTATAAAGATTTTAAAACTCAAATTATTTTTTGTCAGATTCATGATACTCTGATCGAGGGAATAAACCTAAGAGATTTTAGGTTCAAAATCCATCTCAAATCGATTGACAGAGGGCAGCCTCACTATAACAGCGTTGAATTGGGAATCTACATCAGTTGTCAAAGGACAGTGGATGGGAACCATAGTGCACATGATGGAAGGACACCATCACCCTTCCATCTTGAGAATGGACGGTGGTAAGCCCATTTGTGTAGGTAGACCATACACAAGGGATTGTCCTTTGCCTACAACTTTTGGGTTCTTATTAAATTTCTCGAATGACTCATATAGAAATGAGTCACCCCTTAAAAATCTATTTTTTAGATGAATTTTTTCACCTAATTTTGAAGAACATGTAATCTCTAACGTAGAGATCATGAATATGAAAAAATAAGTAAGTTTTGAAAATTAAAAATAATAAGTCTATTAAAAAAATATTTAGAACCATTAATTTCGATTGTTTTTAGATGAACCACCTATTTACATCCATCTTTAAGATAGATACTCTATACCTCGGGGACCGCAAATGTAGAAATGCGGTCCCCGACACATGAAATAATTTTCCTTCTCAATTACATTGATCAATTTCCCAAACCCCATAAATATGATACGGGGTGAATTATTTTCCTTTGCCAAATTACAACTAATGGGGGAGTTGTCTATACTTCCCTTACTGCATAAAGCTAATATATTTCTCCCTATCCAACTATTCATTTTGACTGGTCGTTTTGAATGGGCGGCTGAGACGACCCCAATCATAATGTCACGTATCTATACTATTTTATTTTTAACCTTTTTTTTACAAAATATTTTTACACCAAATTTTGGGCATCCACTTCTCTCTTAAACATATAAAAAATATATTAAAAAATTATTCCCAAAAATAAAATAACTAAAATGCCCCTAAAAGTTTCAAGTGTATTTTGGTTATTGTATTCTATCAAAATATTTTTTAAATTTTTTTTTTATGTGCCCTTGAGATGATAGCACGTACCAATTTTTATATTCATGTAATTTGTAGGAACAAAATTAAAAATAAAATACTTTGAGGCGTTAGCCTAGATTAAACAATAAATGACTCACTTAATCTGCATTGTATGCTGGATGAGGGCAAATATATATCTTCTATACAGTAATACAGTAGGGGAAGTATAAAAACCTTTCACATTACTAACTCCCCCCTGAAGAGCACGATACTATTTAGGCAGATCCAGTTTTGGTTTGTTAGCTATCTCGTCTATTTATATATGTCCCCCCTCCAAATTCATTTTCGAGATGAAATTTGGATTTAAATTTCTAGGGGTCGAAAATCTCTACCAATGTAATTATCAAAATAAATAAATAAATTTAAAATTTTAAAAATAATATTTTTAAAAATTATCTTTCAATCAGTGATTTCACCTTTTTGGGGGCATCATTTTGTTACAAATAGGCTCCAACGGACATTTTGGGGAACATTGTCCAACAACTAAGTCTCCTTACGCATCAAATTCTTTCCTTATTTAGATTTGCGACATGATCAGTACTTTTAACAACACTTTTCTTATCAATTGAAATAATTTGATATTTGGAACACTCAATGTTGCAATTTGATGTTTCAAATAGTTTACGCATCATTCAATAAGATTTCATGCTCTCTCATAACTATCTTTCTATTTACTCCCTCCGTTAAAACCTAATCTAAGAGTATTTTAAGACTCCAAATTCTACGGATGTGCAGTTTTCAAGTTATAGACTAATCTCAATAAATAAATAAAAATAAATTGCATTCTCTATGCATTTGAAAAATAATAATGTGCCAAGATTAAACAAAAATTGTTCAATTTTTAGACAGTGACATCTAAGTATAAAAAACTCTATATTTAAAAGTTCTTTTCATTTAAAAATAATCATCCAATAATTCTTAGATGTTTCCCAAAAATTCATATTAGTTGATCTTCTAACCGATGCAGTAGGTGTGCAATATATGCTCCCGCCAGGAGCACAACGTACACGCTCTTTGAAATATTGAGGATTACAAAGTATTTCCACTAAACATTGATTAATTCTCAATATGAATGAGACGGCAAATAATTTGTTAACGAATACCAATTAACGGCTCTCATCACTACTCTCATCATCATTGTCAAAGCTTTTTTTCAACTAATTGAGATCGGCTACATGAATCTTAATCTGCCATTAAGCTCTATTACCCTACGTGAGGTCATGAGTCCTCAATTTTATTTTTATTACTTCAAACCATGTCATTTGGGACCCTACCATTTACCCCTTTTTAGCCTTCAACTTGAACTAACTCGTACCTCGTAACATGTTTATCGGGTCTGCACCACATATAGCCAGCACACCGAAGTCTGGAATTGATGCTATCCAAAATCACCCACATAAAGAAATCCCATATTATGTTGAATTGGGTTTGATATTGATAGGTTTTTTAAAGAAATAGAAATTCAAAAAAATACGACTCTTGAATAAATCACTTGGTTTTTGAGATATATGTAACAGTTATAAGAAGTGTCCTGAAGTTTCCTATTTAGTGTAGATTGCTAAATATATATATGGGATGAAAGAGCAAAGAATTTGTGTGCCCCCTCTAGAGAGAGAGGGGGCCATGAGTTTCCTGTGCATGAGATGCAAGGTCTCCCCTTAAAGAGAAGAGAGCTTCTTATGAAGAGAAATATTATAATAGTACCGCCTTTAGACTCCTAAAGATTGAAATGATGGTGTCTCCTTTAGACTCCTGAAAATTGAGAGGTTGGTTTCTTATAGATAAGTGGTTCCCATAGAGATTTTGGTGATTTCTCCTTTTAGTTAAAAAGAAAGTCAGTTTCTCGTTGCTTTCACGTCTTTATATGGTGTTGTTGGTAATGATTGCCAAAATTAAAGAGAAGAAAAAACGACATGTGGTGTTAGTCAGGAGAGTGGCTTAAAAGGTTGTTCGACTGGGTTTTTGTTGAGGGTTAACTCTGTGTTCTAAAATCTCTGATATAACTTTCATTGGTATAGTGGATTTCAATTTGTTGTGTCCATGGATATAGTTATGTGATGAACCACATAAATTATTTGTGTTTTTGTAGTATGTGTTTCATGCTTTATTTGCCAAAATAAACGCATCAGATTTAGAGCTTCCTCGTACATCTTATCGCCTATTGGTGCCAACCTAAATTTTCTCGAATGTATTCATTTTGAATTCTATTCATTCTTATCTTGTCACTCATCCATCTTAACATCCTCATCTCTACTACACTCATTCCATGAGTGTAATGTTTATTGACTGCCAAACATTCCACCTCATAGAGCAAAGCTAGTCTCATTCAAATTCATTGGTATGCATCAACCACATAAAATTCAGTTATACATCTTCACTTCACCCACCCAACTCTCATCATTCCTCTAACGCAAACCAAGCCTACTATGTGCTAGCTAAGTATTAGAAAAGGGCAACAAGCCGTTTTAACCCTACTTTAAAGGCCTGTTTTTAAAAAGAGAAATCAACATTAACATCCCACGTATTACCGATATTTATTTAGAATTATACATTAGGGGATCATTTACTGTTGTTACAAGAAGGCCACAATCACTTTTAACCATTAGATTTCAAATTGAAGGGCTTGAAGTGTATCAGAAATTAACCTTTTCTTTTTAGAACTTTGAGTCTAGTCACGCTTACAAGTACCCGATCTAAAATTTGACAGAAAAGAGTAATTGTGACATCCTTGTACTAAAGTAAATGGTATATTTGTAAACATTTTCTATTTAAAAATCCCACTTAAGAATAGTTTTTTACATTCATACCACTTTTTCCATTTCTTTTTCTTCCAAATTGCCCCTATTCTAGACTTTAAACGTCTAAAGTTGAGTTTGAAGTTCTAGACCTTGAAGATTCCCTCGGATGAAATCTAAAGTCGGTGTTATTTGGACCTTAAAAGTC